GCACGTGCTTCAAATTAACCAACTCAAAGAAGTGACTTCCAGGTGTCAGTCAAACCTCCTATTGGTTCTCGGGGACAATCAGGATGCTAATTAAAATCAGAAGCCTGCCATTGCCCCATGCTGCTCGCCCAGGCTATATAAGACCTCATTTAGTCTTCTCAGTGGCTTGGCTCCTCAAGTGCACTTGATGCCGGAATGGTTGTGTGATTTGCCGCTGGTTCTGCTTGTTGTAAGTCGTGGAGGTCAGAAGACTGAACCCCACTGACATCAGAGCTCCTGTCCTGGCCTTATAGAGACCATATTCTCTCTCTGGGCCTGTGAAATGGGTAAGTCAATCATCCCATGTCCCTGTGCCCAGATGTCCATTAGTTGAACAGGCTTATTTTTCTCCATATGATGTTATTTATAATATGCTCTCAGTACGATATGAACACGAAGCTCGGTAATATGCAAAGTTCCTGATAAGGAACCGCCAGCCCTGGAGACCTGGGTTTGTCTGGGCATCATGCCTGGCCCCGCTGATGCCAGGTGCACGTTCATCGAGTGGAGGATGACGTCGGTAGAAAATGCCTGCCTGCTAATCCCGTCTATTAATTCCTCTGCAAAATCCTAATAAGCAGAAATGTCAAACGTGATTCCTAGAGCTGCTGATCATTTCTACTTCTGGTAAAACAGAAATATAGTCAATATTGTTCCTCTAACATAGAGATTCATTTAATGTAACCCTTCCGGGTGGGTGCCCTTTATCTTTCTTTGTATTTCTGGCTGAACAGCTGCTGTACATCATGGTCTCAAACTTGTCAGTTTCAATTTAATTAGAGCAGCAGAAACACTTGAAGCCAAGAGGAATCAGCCCAACTGCAGAGAGAAATCTCCTACTGTGCAGGGCACAGATTCTGAAGATTCCTGAGGTCCAGTAGGCCTTCAGAGTGAGGAGAGGCTGCCAGTTTCCATGATGGGGTCTGCAACTGTTTGGCTTCCTGGGGGGCCGTGACTTGCAGTCAGACCTCTCCCGACTGCCGTGCTCTGCACCACACCCAGGCACACGGAGGGGAACTCCTCAGCGCAGACTCATCAGTTTGACTCTTTGCTTGTTTGCTTTCCCTCCAAACCAGGAGGAGGGAGCTGAAACCTGTGGCTGGTTGGAGTTTCAACTTCCCCACTGTACCCAGTGTTCTCCACGTGTCAGTGATACAAGGTTAGATCCAGTGTCTCAGGCAGTCAATCCTATTGTAAACACCCTCTGGATAGCATCCATTATCTTACCGTGGACCGTTCCCACCCCTATAGTCAGGCCCAGTGGTGATTTCTCATCGAATAAAGAGAAAGAGAAAGAAAAAAGCTCTATTAAGAGCACGGAAGATCTTTCCGTCTTCAAAGTTCTTCCTTAGTTTCTTTCTTTAGTGCTCTCTCGTTTTCGTTGTCGAGGTCTCTCGCCTCTTCTGTTAGATTGATTCTCAAGTATTGTATTTTCTGAGGCTATTGTGAATGGGGTAGTTTTCCTAATTTCTCTTTCAGCGGATTCATCACTGATGTCTAAGGATGAGTTTGATGTATGGGTGTTGATTTTATATCCTGCTACTTTGATGAATTCGTTTTTTAATTCTAGAAGTTTTCTGGTGGAATTTATTGGGTCTTCTAAATGTAGAATCATGTCATCAGCAAACAGTGGTTGTCTGAGCTCTTTTCCTATTCATATCCCTTTAATTTCCTTCTTCTATTTGTTCTGTTTCAAGGACTACATTGAATAGAAGTGGTGAAAGAGACTATCCTTGTCTTGTTCCTGTTTTCAAAGGGAACGTTTTCAGTTTTCCTTCATTTAGAATGATGTTGACCTTGGGCTGAGCATACATAGCTTTTACAATATTGAGGTATATTCCTACTATCCCTAGTTTTTCTAGTGTTTTGAACATGAAGGGGGCATGTATTTTGTCAACTGCATTTTCTGCATCAATTGAGATGATCATAAGATTGTGGTCTTTAAGTCTATTGACGTGATGAATGACATTTATTGATTTCTGTATGTTGAACCAACATTGCATCCCTGGGATGAACCCCACTTGATCCTGGTGCACTATCTTTTTAATATGCTTTTATATGCAATTTGCCAGAATTTTATTGAGAATTTTTGCATCTATGTTCATCAGGGATATTGGTCTGAAGTTTTCTTTCCTTGATGTGTCTTTGTCTGGTTTTGGTATCAGGGTGATACTAGCCTCATAGGATGAGATTGTAAGGGTTTCTCCTTTTCTATTTCAGGGAATAATTTGAGGAATTTTGGTGTTACTTCTTCTTTGAAGGTCTTGTAGAAGTCAGCTGAGAATCTGTCTGGTCCTAGACTTTTCTTTGTTGGTAGGCTTTTGATGGTATCTTCTATTTCATTTCTTGAAATTGATGTGTTTAAATTGGGTATGTCCTCCTGATTCAGTTTGGGGAAGTCATATGTCTCTAGAAATTTGTCAATATCTTCAAGATGTTCTAATTTATTGGAGTATAAATTTTCAAAGTGGTTTCTAATTATCTTCTGTATTTCAGTAATGTCCATTGTGATATTTCCTTTTGCATCATGAATTTTAGTAATTTGAGTTTTCTCTCTCTTTCTCTTCATTAACATGGCTAAGGGTTTATCAATTTTATTTATTTTTTCAAAAACAACTTTTTGTATTGCCAATTTTTTGAATTATTTCTTTTATTACAGTTTAATTGATTTTAGCTCTGATTTCATATTTACTATCTTCTCCTGCTTTGGATGTTGATTTGTTCTCCTTTTTCTAGGACTTTGAGATGTAATGTTATATCATTTATTCGTTCACTTTTCATTCTTTTAAAGAATGAGCTCAATGAATTGAATTTTCTTCCTAGTACTGCCTTCATAGTGTCCCAGAGATTTTTATATGTTGTATCAGTGTTCTTATTTGCCTCTAATTATTTTTTTATTTCATCCCTGATTTCTTCTGCTATCCATTTATCATTCATTAGCATATCATTTAGTCTCCAGGTATTGGAGTAGCTTTTATATATATATATATATATATTATTGTTGACTTCTAATTCCATTTCATTATGACCTAATAGAATGCAGGGTAGTATCTCTAGTTTTTTTGTATTTCCTAAGAGTTGCTTTGTGGCATAAGATATGTGCTGCTGAGAAGAAGGTATATTCACTTGTTGATGGATATTGTCAAAATGGCCATACTACCAAAAGCATTATACAGATTTAATGTGATTCCTATTAAAATCCCAAAGATATTATTAATAGAAACAGAAAAGCAGTCATAAAATATGAAATAAGAAAATAAAAGACACAGATAGCAAAAGAAATCCTTAATAAGAAAAATGAAGCAGGAGGCATCACAGTACCAGACTTTAAACTTCATAGCCATAGTAAGAAAAATGGGATGGTATTGGCACCAAAGCAAACACATAGACCAATGGTACAGAACAGAGAACACAGAGACAAATCCACATAAATACAGAGTTGCCTCATACTAGACAAAGTACAAAAAGCATTCACTGGAGAAAAGATAACCTCTTCAACAAATGGTGCTAGGACAACTGGAAATCTGTATGTAATAAAATAAAATTAAAGTCCTGTCTCTCATCCTGCACAAAATTCAACTCAAACTGGATCAAAGACTTAGGCACTATAACATAAGCCCTGAACCTAATAG